GTGTTACTCCTACGTGAGAATGTACCTGCGGACGGTGGAAAAAGCCCCAGCGATTAAAATAGAGTGAAGCACTCAATGTTCAGTGGATTGAAAGGGAGCTTTAAGGTGTCATGTCAGTGGCGGAACTTGATAATAAAATCATCCGCCCCTTGCCTCATTTCCCTAGCAATTTTCTGCACATTCAACTATGCAATCGATAATTTCCGTCTTTCATCTTCTTTCACAGCGTGTCACACCACGATGGTCTCTGTCGTGTTTGCGAGTGTGAGACTATCCATGGAGATACTGCACGTTCACTCATCACCTGAGGTGAAAAGGGACTATCTATCAAAGGCGAAAGGTGTTTGCGAAATACTGCTTTTTTAAAATATTAGCAGAGATATGAACAAATCGATTGCAGTGTCGCTCTCACCTCTAAAAGCATATCCAGCAATAAAATTCACGTGAATGAAGCAGGAAATATAATTAGTAACTCCATGGCGAACACTTCTCATTCAAGATAGATGGCAAAGTTAAAAACTCTCAGCGAGTAAAACTATTTTCCACTCAAATAAATCCCCACACGTTGAATGATGAATTGGGACAGTATGAACTTAAATGGCTATCACATAGTCTGTAATATTGTTTCATTTTTCAAATCCTCCGGTGCAATATAAGGATAAATTTTCACATAACGCTGTCAGTTGATAATAAGAGGTACCCAGGAAAGAAAGCTGAAATAAACGAGGAACAATACCATTTCTCTCTGCCTGACTTTTTCTTCATTTCCTCCCAAATAGTGCCTCTCACTGAATTTTTCAGAGATTGACGACCACCCGTCGTCTAGGATGCCTCCACGGGAGGCTGCAGCCAAGGGGGAGCCTTTAGCGGAAACCAGGTGTACAGCGTTTAGAGATTTTCAGTAAACTTTGAGTTCGAAATTATGTGCTATCAATCAAGGAAATTAATTGCTCTGATCATGCTTTAGCCATTTCGTATTAAAGAATTTTTGCTTCCGCGCGTACACTCAATCCGTCGTCTTCACATCCGCACTTTGGTTCCGCAGACGGAAGGTGAATTCTCAAGATTGGGTTGGTTTGAGTTGGGACTGAGGAAAAAAAAAGAAGGCACTCCGGTGAAATCTCCAATGGAAATGGGTCTCTGTCGAGTTTTTCCTCTTGAGTGTGGCTTGGAAGTGAAAATACGATTTATGAGCTGCAGATGTAAAACAAGTGCTTTAAAAAAGTCCTCCTGCGAAATGCAAACTTGTTATTCTTTAACCATCAGCTCTCAGGATGAGGTTGAGAGGGGGTAAGAAACTTTATATTCTGCGTAAAAGTGGCTTAAGAGGGTTGAATTTTCTCTATCAACAACTTGTGCTGCTAATTATAAATATTCTCTCCTCTTCATTTGCTCAAACAATGCGGAGCTCAAGACGAAAATTCCATTTCAAGTTTCCAATTTGGAGGGTCGCTCTAACCGACTTTAAAATAAACTCCCAACATTTCACATGAGAAGCGATAAGTGCAAATGCAAAAATAAACAGTCACTTCAATTTAAGTTTGAAAGATAGTCTTAAAGTTTCAAATAATAAAGCATGCTCTCTCTCTTGAACATTCGAAGTCTTCGAAGTGGTAATTAAGTGCCTCAATGCTGGGTCGTCTCTGAAAGAGAAATGTTACGTGATTTGCATAAAAGTGTTTGTTTCAGAAACCAAGTAAAAGTGTGAAGTGAAATTTTGATGAAGAAACACGATCCTGGGTAAATTAGATTTATTACTGAGATCCAAGCACTTCTTTTGTTGACTTGCACACCCCTTGAATTTATGTCCGTATACCTCTCTGTTTTCTTCCATTCCGCCCTTCCGGACGCCTCAAACGGGACAGCGGCGGGTGAAAGAAGAGCGAATAGTTTTAGCAGCTCCTCTGGCTTTGAGACTTGTGTGTGCTTTAGCAAGTGCTGAGGCTGAATCGACTTTCCTTCCCAATCTACCGCCCACCACCCCCTTGTCCACCCCCTTTATCCGCCGTCAAGACCACCCCATTCGTCGCATACATAAATACCAAATACATCCCACATCATCACCCCAACATTCATCCAATTCCTTTTATTTACTCCCTGTGACATATTTATTTCTTAAGTGACATTTTCCTCACTTGTAAGGCACTCTGGGAAAATATTTTCCCAACTATACTCCGAGGTGCTTCTCCGCCCCCCAATTCGCCATCCACCGCGTGATTCACACGCTGCCGGCAATAAATTCTCGATATTGTTTCTCTGCGGCCGGGCGGGGGTGGCGCCCGGATTGTTCTCGCCTGTTTCTGAGGGTTCCCCACAATCGGGCCGAGAGTGTGTGTATGCAGATAAAAAAGGAGGAAAAATATATGCTAAGAAGGGTGCCAAATTGGGCCACTCCGGCTCCCGATATATCGCAACACTCCCCTGTATATCTAACTCACATAAGCTTTATTGGAATTTGATGATGCGGCGCACAAAAGAAGAGCTTTCGCTGCCGAGGATGACGCAAAGTCGAATACCATGGCATGTTACATTCCGATGACGGAGCAAAGCGTCCGTCCACAGAAGCTTTGTCTTATCGTGTTCACATGATTTGCGATTTCCCCAGGACGTATCAGGAGCAACTGATAGAATACAGAGGGCTTTCGATATCGCTTGTTGTTACCCCCGAAGAAAGACACTTTTGTATGAGCGCGCACAGAGGGAATTGTAGAGGTTTATAAAAGAGTCTAAATCTATTGATCTCCCACATTGACTTTAAAGCTTCCTTTTTTCGGAATATCTTCAACAATATACACAAATCAATGGGCAAATTGTTGGTTACCTAATCCTTGCCACAGCGCAAGAGACACACTCATATCTCATACAATAGAAGCGAAATTGAAGTTGAATTTCATGTAATCAATTTCCAATTAATTTCCAATTATATTCAGGAGCAATAAATAACAAATTTCCATCCAGGGGAATTTTCCAATCCACGCTTCACTCTTATTCTACACAATTTTTTGTCCCCAGATTCATCCTTTCACGGCGTCCACCATAAATTTTGCTTTGGCAACTAATAAATTCACCTTTGCCTATTGACACCTATCGATTCGCATTCTGCCATTGAATATCACATCACGAGACAATGCCAGACTAATTTCATACCGTCTAATGCAATTTTCCGGAGAGTGACACGCGAAAAAGCGCATGTAAGTGACGAAAAAATGCTCATGGGGTCGTTTGAAAGGAAGTTTCCCGCTCTATATTCGGTGAAATTCAACTTCAAACTGCATATATGCACTGGAAAAATGCTGAGTATTTGGCTAAATTGGTCTTTCGCTTCAACATCTTTTTCCCCCCCTCTGCATTTTCACTCCATCTCGCTGGCGCAAAAAAGTGCCATCGCAGTGCCACTTTCGCATTTTGGCTCCCATTCTCCATATCACGAGTTTCCATCTTCCATTGTATACTTTCTGCTGACTTTTTTTTCCACTCCGCCCGAAAAACAATAATATGATTCTATTATGCAAATGCATTCTTGCAGAAAATTACTTGGGAAATGATTCTGTCGCTGGAATGGCAAAAAGGGCATTCGAACGCAGGGCAATTTTCTCCCATTGAATTTTTTGATTTTGCATTAAGCGCGCATGATTTCAAATTCAGTTGGGTTAGTTTAAAATACCAACTGCAGGAAAGTGATTATAAATTAGAGTGATTAAATTGAAAAGTCCTTTTCACCACCAAACTTGGCATTGTTTCTCATTCTGAGGGTAAATATTCTTTGCATTAAAGACACAAACTCTCCAAGGAAGAATACCTCTGTGGCATTGTGGTAAATTTATGTAAAATATTTCATGAAAATCGTCCAATGAAAGCCTGAAATTTTCAAGTCATTCCATCCATATTCCTGCTCTTCCCGCCTCAAACCACTTTCACCGCCTGATATTGCACAAAAGAAGTGTCTCTCGAGACTCTGCTAAGCCAGAGACAACGTCGGAAACACGGAAAAACAAAAAAGTACAATAGTGTTATTTACATTTTAATAATATTTCTCTGTGAGAGGCGGACAAAAAATGTTTATGAGTTCTTTTCTAAATTAAGTCACGAAGGAAATTGTTTGCCGTTTGTATGAGTGGAGAAAGTTTTCCACCCAAATGGAAATGAGTGGGAAATTCTTGATTTTTCAATTCATTCTGCCGCACTAATGAAAAAAGTTATTTGATCTTTCTCTGTGAGGCCCTCGTGGGGCTTCTTTTTCACTTCTATTGGTATTATTTTAATTTTTGCCTGCTCCTTCGCTTGTTTACTGATCCAGCTTCATGTCTCGTGTGCTTTTTTTCCACCTCCCAACGAGTCCCATTGCTAGAGAATTTAATAAAAGCACTTCTCTATTTTCGACTGGGATTCATTTCGTCTTCCTAAATCTCTCTTTTGCACTTGGCAATTTGAGGGATTCCGATTTCTTGATTTTCACGACTTCTCTCAGAAGCCAGTGGAGTGAGGCAGGGATTGAGCAGAGGGACTTTCGAGGGTACTTTCAAGGTAAATAAATGAAGGCATCCCCTAACGTGCTCTTCCACTTCTCTGACTCTGCGTTTGATGAATCATTTCTGAAGGCACGAGAGCATGATCAAAAGCACAAATTGACGATTTTGCCGCCAAATTCCTTGCTTTGTCCAATTGCTTGGGTGACCGATTTTCTACTTCTTTAAACTCTTCAGACTCGTGTTCAGACGTCCACTGATCTTGAGATTCTAACAATAAAGTGTATTAAGTTGCTCGTTTCGATTCTTCGAATTGTTTGAGCCAATATTTTCGCTAAAATATCTACTTGTTTTGCGTGAAACACATTTGAAACTCCAGTGGAAGTGAAGGGTTAACAGAACCAACAACTTGAATGAAGTCTCTCTCCTGAGCACAATGCTGCCACTCTCTTTCTCTCTCTGTTTTCATTTCTCCGGCGGCGTCTCTCCGAGGAACTGATTTCGAGAGAGACCATCGAGCAGCAGAGCCACAGCAGCAGCAGCGACAGTCATTCTTCGTACGCACGCCGTACGAGTTGGAGGTGTTCTTCTCGAGTGCTCAAGAGTCGTGAGTTTGTTTGTTTCCAGTGCTCTCAACTTGTTACATTTGATCCCAGATCCTGCACAGAGTTGTGTGTGGTGGAAAGTTGCAAGTGGGGACTTGAGAAGTTACGCTTGGCGCGAAGTTTGAGAGTTGGCGGGAGAAAAGTGTGCAAAGAGCAAAATAAATTTCCTGAGATATTATTCTCGGGAGGATAAATTCATTATTCAGAGGTGTGTATCACGAAATACTCCCCCATCCCCATATTCTGTGCCAAAGTGATGTGTCTTTGAGGTTCCTTTTGTTGTTGGGAGGGATGGAAAAGGACAATTTTCACAGGGATTTTCAACAACTTTTCCCATATCAAGTTTTACTTAACATTCTGACCGTGCAGGAGTGGGGGGCACAGAACATAGCAGGAAATCCACACTCTCACTCCAATGTGAGATGAATACAGAGCATTTCACATTTTTCGGGGGGCGGTTACATTAAATAAATTGGTTTGTGTATAGTTGAGTTTTATTTACTTAAAATGCGATACGACGGAAGTTTTCCCTTTTTGGGTGCCGCGGCGCAACTTTCTCGTGGAGTTTTAAATGAGAACTTTCGGGTGGATAATTATATGAGTTGGAAATCTATATAAGATGTGAAAATTGTCGCTCCTTCAGTCACACTGTCTATGTTGAAAGTGAATTAAGATCTGAAGATGGGGAGTGCAAAACTTTTGCCAACTCTATATTCCATTCATAATGGGATAAATTCTTCCCAATCGTGCCGGTCTACGGCTTGGAAAGGGGGGCGCAAAATACTTAAGTTTTGTGGTAATTTCTCAGACTTTGGAGTACTTAAAATCCACCAGAGGACGCGTTATGTCTTCTGCTGGAATTTCCTGTGTGCACTTTTTGTCCACCAAACCCGAATGACTGGGGAAATTTATTTGCCACACTTGATTTATTCCTCTCGTTTCTTATACTCGCCGCATGGGCATAAAAATGTGCAACATTTTCTCTCACAATACATCGCTCATAAGTCGCCGTTCGGGCACAAGTTCTCCTGGTTTTATTCTTTGAGAAGTTTTCAGTGAATTAATTTAGTCAGGAAACTCTCCTTGGGAAACGGAAAATACACAAAGTTTTCCGTCTTAATTATGGACTTTTAATATTACGTCTATGTACAATAATTGAAGTGCTGAGGATTTAATGGATCACTTATTAGCTTCCACTGTGAGTTTTGTTTGCAAGGTGGCGAATAATTAGTAAATTATTTTCTCAAAAGTTTCTTCACGTCTTCAACTTACAATTTGCACTTGTGACTCTGTAGCTCGGCATGAGCGAAGTAAGTCTTCCTTGCGACAATTTCTCGTGGTGGTATTCTGTCTCTACTCTTTTTGCGCCTTCCTGTCAACTTTTACCACATTCTTCACACACAGAGAGATCCATAAATATTCCTCTTAAATGGCACTGGAGATGATGCCAGGAATCCTATTGTAATGCATGGCATTTGCGAAATATTTCGCAAAGCGAAGAGACACTATTTTGAGCGATAAATTAATAACAGGGCCCGCCAATTGACATGGAGGCATACAATTTACGCCCAAAGTTTATCGAGGCGATAGTGGGCAAATTGCATAAAATTCCCTCGCCCCCGGTTTGGCAGAAAAAGCGTCCGTTTGCATCTGCATGCCAAACAATGTGCCATTTCCGAGCCCAAGAACTCATAAATATCCATATGCATATGCGGAGTTTCCACATGGCAATTTTGCGAGAGATGAAGAGCCGCGAGTGTGGGCTGATTTCACATTGGATGGGCCTCAAGATGAGAAATCCCTGTCTGTCCTGTGCTTGAAAACTACAGCATATTTATGAGTCAATTCGCATTAATGGCCAAAGTGTATGAGAGGGAGAAAAAAGAATGATATTTCATCATACAAAACTCATCAATTTCAGTATAAATTTCCTTCCTTCACGCGATCGAGGCAAAAGTGTGATATTTCGAGAGTGTAAAATCAACAAACATGTAACTGTAAAAGAGAATCTCTCAGATTTATTCTTTCCCGCGAGATATCACCATGAAAAACAAGAGCGCGCGGGATAAATTGCACCGCACAGGATTTGCATGTGGCAAAAATTCACATTTGGCAGAGATGAAATTCCCCCACGCAGCCACTGTTGAGCCTCCCTTGTACGCACAATTTGATTTATCATCTCACCATTCATCGATCATAACAAAAATACACACACTTACATCGCCTCCCCCAGAGCAGCCCCATAAATTCTCCATTTATGCGCTAAAACACAAAAGTACACCATAAATAATTCCACATACTGAATTCTTATATGAATTTCTCTCTCGCTTTCGCTCTCCTTTTTTCCCGTGCTCCACTTTCAGCCACTTTTTGCGTCTGGGGCTTCGCCCTTGCGTGAGGGGGTGGCGCACAATGGGCACCCGAGTCAATTTGCATATTGGGATCCAATTTAATTTACATACAACATAGTTAAGTCAGTGATTCGGTAGATTATTGCCACACTTTCGGGGGGCTGTTTTCCACGTGTGCCAAACACGCGGGTTAAGCGGAGAATTGAATTGTTTGGCACACTTTGCGATCCATTGTTTGGAAATATTCAAGACAAGTAAATCCGCTTTTGTGCAGAATCTCTGGGGAGTTCGCGCTAATCTCTCAATTTGAGAAATGAACGCGCTTCTCAAATTAGAATCTTTTGCCAAAGAGACGATGTGACGAGAGGAAATAGAAATAGTTTTGGGAATTGCTTGAAATACGATCAGAAAATAGTTACATTTTCTTCACAGAAAGAGCGTTATTTGAAAAACTATAGTCGCTCAGGAATGTGAAATAAATCTCTTTTTTAGTCGCTCTAACAAGCGGAAATTTAGCAAAATTATATATACAGAAAATCGAGAAATATGCCGAAAAAATTACATCCACGAAGAGGGAAAAAAGGTGAAGGCCACGAAAACGGAGGATTTTAGGATAATTCCATATGTCTGGCATTTTTTTCCGTCATTTCGGCACTTTGTCGGAATTTCGTGCAAAATTGCGGATAAGGCGTAGCGAAATCTAAAATTATCCCCAAAACCCGATAGAAAAGAATATAATGCTGAAGATTTCCCCTTCGAGCCATGCAATGCCCCCCATCCTCGGTCAGAATTTACCCGTAATCTGGGATTATTGTGTGAGAAAGGGAATGATGATTTGTTTGCTAAAATAATTATACCATTCTCCCATCTCCTCATGAGACTCTCTCTCTCTCTCTGTGCCGATGAATATTCGTGCTGCTGTGGCAGAAATTGTGGCACGAGTTTAGGGAATTCACATGGAAATGTCTCGAAGGATATTTCCATGTGAGAAATCACGGATACCTCATGATAATTTAATGGGTTTTACCCCCCCATACGACGGGGATCTTCTCCTTGTAACCATTTATTCATCAACATTCCTCACTTTGTGTACATACAATCTCACACTCTCATTCCTCATGTCTTCTTGTTGCAGATCTCCGAAGCAAAAGTTGTGGAGCGTCAAGTGCACAAGTTTCACTGGGAATAACTACATGCATTAAAGTGGCACCGAGAGCTTCCAGCTCATGAAAGGATTACACTCTCGTATTGGAGTGGGTTGCGTTTGAATATTTTGTGTTGTGTATTTTTCAATTCTGCGCGTCTTGCCGCGAACAGACCGAAGATTCTATATAGAGAGAGAGAGATTTTGCCAAGGTATATTTTGCGAGAGCACAAGCGGAGGTAAAAGAATTGAATATGGTGTTTGAGAAGACTCTTGTGGCCATTGTGCTTGTTGTGTGTTGCCTGAGGGCGGCCAGTGTATCGGCGGGCTCATGCCGGGAGTCTTCGCTGTGCTGCAACGGGCGCGACTCCTCTTGTGTTGTGCAGAAAGCCCCCATAAATGCCATCATCGAGGATCTGAGCGATAAGCCATGCTATTGTGACCATGCCTGCTTGCGCCTCGGCGATTGCTGCGAGGACTTCAAACAATACTGTGGAGGTATTTATAAGCTTCAATGTATCGCAATACATGGGGAGACATTCCCCATTGATATCCCCACCCCCTCATCGCCCCACATTTCCCCCGCTGACTGCAATGCAGATACGCCTCACTGTTACATCATAAATTGTCTGTCCTCCAGCCATCCGCGAGATTATCGAGTGCTTCCAGGTCACGTATCTCGCTCCCGAAAAATGCACACGAAATCACCCATCAAATGCAACATTGTGCTCCTCCCCGTCGCCACTAGAGCCTCTCCAGTTGCGCCCAATTGCTATCTTAAACGGTACATTTTCTCGAGACCCTGCTAAAAGAGTGGCGGAACATTTCCGTGACGAAAAGTGTGTACTGATGGCCCCAAGACTCCACCGAGTCAACAAAATTGGGCAATAAACGCGATTACTGCTAAATTGCTGTATAACTTCTTGAGATCATGCTTTTCTCTGCGCCAGAGAAGATGGTTTTCAGAGAGAAACTTATGCTGTGTAAGTTTTGAGTTGTTTTGCTTTACAATTGAAAGTTCCTCACTGTGCGGATATCTAACTGGATTTTAAAATGCATTTTACTGGTGGCAATAAGTACTATTGTGCCAAGTTGAAGTGCCTTTAAACCCAAATGAGTTTTCTCTTAATTGTACAAACAATCGTCCTCGATATCGAGTTAATGGCACTTTTCAAATACGTCGATTGCATTTTGAATTAAGTACAGAATAATGCTGTGGCTTTTCTGGAGTGTATAGTGGGATTTATATCACTACCGACGCCATTGTTATGAGCCAAAATAAATAATTGTATTCTCATTGAATGAGAAAGAAATTTCCGAGAGGAAAAGCTCTCGGCGGGGGTAAGAAATCAGGAATTTATGCGTGCGGAATTGGAGGCCCAGCACTTCCTGGCCTCATGTCTCGAAGCTCTTTATATACCCAGCAAACAATCGCTTGCATGGTAAACGAGAGGGTGAAATTATTGGATTGGAAACGGTTGCGGCGTTGGGACGGAAAAAGGGAATTAGAAAAGTTGTACTCGCAATGAATTCCGATAAATGGCAATTTCTTCAGTATTATTGGCACGTTTTGTGTTCGCCGAGGGTGTGCGGGTTGAGGGTGAAAAGGGGTTTGAGAAATGGTTTATTTTTTCCCCTGTTTCCCCGCACGACCGCTTGTATGCAAAGATGTTGGAAATTTGTTTGGAAATTTGTTGGGATTAGGCACGGAGTTTTTTTTGCCATCGTCTTTTCGGAGGGGGTGAAAGTGTAATAAATTGACAAAGGAGGGCAATTTAAAGTGTCCTGGACAATGGCATTGTCGAAGGATGTGTGATAGTGCCATGGAGACCCATTTGGGATAATTTGGTAATCTCAGATTCAGCTGTAGTTGTCCATTAGCTGAACATTATGACACTCACTGTGTGGACATTAAATTCAGGAACAATATAAGGGAAATCCTAGAGGAAGAGACAGGAAAAGTCGATGCAGCTGCGTCAATGCGGGACTTTTCAAGACAATACAACGCGTCCCAGAAACATAAATGTTTATGCTCGGAGATGATTATGTTGTCCCATTTTCAAACAGCTGATGCACAACACTCGAGACAATGCTCTTTGGAAAAACCTTCGCTGTTTTCTTTCTTTTTGTGCTTTCAGAATAAAACACATACCTTCGCTCTAATGGCGAATTCTTTATTTCTTAATGACCAGACGAATGAACTACGTGAATCCATGCAGGAAAAAAAATGATCAATCCTCGTGTGCGTGATAACGCGAAATTAAGTTAATGAGTGGAGGCTCAACATGAGAGTTTGCAGGCCTCAATAGCACAGGCTGTCACTGAATTGGGACGACAGCGATGCTATCAAATGTCCTACGTGCGAGAATTTCAGATGTAATTTTGGGCGAAAATTTCACATCACTTTCCATGAATGTTAATACTTAATTTTAATGATGCCGAGTGAATTTTCTCTCCATATTTCGTGAGGATTTCCTCTGTCGCCCTGACTCCACTCAAATCACAAAAGGGAGCACGTCTCGCAAGTGGGTGGTGACACAAACATCAGCGAAAGTAATTCAACAGGAGGGCATATGTCGCACAATTGAAAATCGCGTTGTGGCATTGTGTGACTTTTCATCAGCATATTTCACGCACTATTGTATTTTTCCCATATTAATTGATATAGTCTGCCAATGTGGAGCGGAAAGCAGAGAAAAGCCATATTTTCCTGTTGCTGACATTTTGTATTTGTGGGCTACATGAAAGGTGTGTCTTTGTTCTGAGTGTTACATTATTTCACGATAAAGCTTTTACATTCTGAAGGGTGTACAATAAATTTGTGCTATCTATAAAGGATCCTGAACAATATTTTGATTCGAATTGATTCATTTAACACTCGCTGTTTTGGGACAGAACTCAGTTCTTCTGGTTGCACTTGCTCTTGCTCTTGGAGTAGAAGCCGTACAGACCGCTGGGGTTGACCTCGAGGAAGAAGTTGCCCTTGGCCTCCTTGGGGCAGGCAAAACCCATGGCGATGGGGGTGCTCTTGCATCTCTTGGTCGTGACGCCGCGCAGAGAGTTGCAGCGGACGGCCTGGAAGCCGTTGTTGTTCTCAGGGTAGACACTCTCGGTGAAGTACTCGTAGGCCCTCAGGTGAGAGCAGATGATTCCGGCGCAGCCTGGCATGAGGACGGACTTGCCGTTGGGGTAGAAGTCAGCATCGCCAATGGGCTCGCCCTTGCCGAGACCGCCGGAGTTCGTGTGGATGATGTCAACGAACTTGGCATCGCCGCGCTGCAGATTGGTCATCACCTCGCCCTCGTTGAAGCAGGGACGAGCTGGGTCCAGACCGGTGATGCGTGGCAGCATCTTCTTCTCCACCTCGATGAAGTGGCGACCGATGGAGCCGGCCACGTGGGCGCCCAGACTGTGTCCGATGACGTGGATCTTGTTGATGTCAACGAACTTCAGCAGTTTAGCAACGTAAGGAGCCACAGCCTCTCCGATATTCTCGGTGTTGAGGGCAGACCACATGTACAGGTTGTCGAGGTAGTCTTCAGTGTTCAGGTGCTTTAGGGTGGAAGTTGCGCAATTGTAAATCTCAAGAGAAATCGGAAGATATTCAGAGATGTACTTACGATGAAGTTGTGACCTCCGCGGCAGCTGTAAGCCTTGGCCATTTCCCTGGCGGCGGCATTCTCAGTGTTGTCCTTAGTCAGCCATCCGGTGATGAAGATGATGACGGGATGCTCCTTGTTGAAGCCTGGGTACGCGGCCAAGTTCTCCAGCTCGTCAAATTGGAAGGGAACACGTCTCTCGTTGTCGTACAGCACGAAGCTCATGTTCTGCACATTTGGGGTGTACTTCTCAGTGCGGCCCAGGTTCGTGTCGTAGTGCATGGCCATGGAGCAGAAAGTGTTGACTCCCTCCATGAGAACACGAGGAGGCAGACCCAGGAAGGTCTCCTTGCTCATGCGAGCGATGTCCCTGGGAGATGGGATGTAGTTGATGGCGTCTCCAGCGATGTGGTTGAAGGAGTCGAAGCCAACGTGAGCAGCATTGCCGCCCATCTGCATGGTGTCCCAGAAGCCAGCATCACCGGCGATTCTCTGGCAGCAGATCGCCAGGGCGATGGCCAGGATGACAGTCTTAGCCATCATTTGAAGTGATTTAACTAATGAACAATAAACGACACTCTTCTATGACTTGCACCACTCAACTAGCCCGATAGCCACAACTCTGTTGTGTCTTATATAGGCGATCATTATCGCCGCCGATGAGGAGCAAAACAGCTGCTGGTGACCTTTTTCTCAAAGATCAGTCAAAAACATTCAGTATCTGTGAGAATTAATAGGTAAAATCTGCAACACTGGCAAAATGCAAATGCTCTCAATAGAGACACTCGATCATCTGATCAGGCGGTGATTGTTGTGAAATTGTGCATAATCATATATAGGGAAATGTGTTTACAAACGTACGGCAGACTCACTGATAGCATAACACGTTTCATTATCAGGAATGTTGTGTTTACTAAATTTCACATACTTTGTCACTAGAGAAAGATCACTTACTTTCATTATCAGCTCCAAATATCTGCTCTGCTTGACAATGTTGACGAAGTTCGTGCGAGCTTCTAGTGAACTTGATCTTGAGCGTTTTTAGTAAAGAACGCGCTATCTGATCAGCAAAACTGCTCGAGTGATTTCCCAATAAAACGTGCAGCCAGTGCAGAGAATGGCATCGAGTAAATATTTGAAACACAGTAACTCCATCAGAGAGGCGACATGTGTTAACATCCGACTTTTGGGAGGCCGATTTGTGCCTCCCAAAAGTCGAAGGAGGAAACAGACTCCACATTGTGATATGGAGAAGAGCAAATAATTTCATCTCAATATTGATTCTTCGCCACAGTATGGAGACATATTGATGTTTTTCTTTGCTTAACTGGACTTCCCACACGAGCAGTGCGGTGTCAATGCTTTTCCACAAATACCATAAACTTTTGGGTGGGAAAAGGGCCTCTGAACGGAGCAATAAAGGGATTTCTCTCTCGATTGAGGGTAGAAAATTAACAATTCAGCATTGAGATTTCTTACACCCCGAGGGAGTGCAGTGGTTTTTCGTTGACTATGGAAAGTTTTCATTTAGCTTCTCCTCCGAGGCGGTACTCATTTTGGAGCTGAAGTGTCGCTTCTTTTGCTATCTTCTTCAAAACAATGCCTCAAAAGAGGAGTCAAACCGCAGTGCAAGGAAATAATTCCAGAGCCATATAGGGTTGCGTCACAGTGCAGGAAGTCAAGTAAATACCCTTGAGCCTGCACATCTTTCCGGCACTGCAATCTCTTCAGTCCTCTCTCAGCACTGCTTCATATCTTGACGCTGAAGTGAGTCGGTGTTTTAACCGCAATTCCACTAACTATTGTGTTTTCTCCCGTGAGACGAATTCTGACAAAATTTCAAGAGACGTCTTGACACTTTTCTTCCTTGAGAGAGTGTTTTTTCTGCCCCTTGTCTGCTCCCTCTTGTCTTCCCTTTTGTATAATTCCGTAAGTGGTTCATCCCAAAGATGCCTCTCGTATCACTTTTTCTGACAAACTTTATGTACATAAGGTAGAATCATTCCACTGGAGAATCTTTTGTTATTTGTCTGAATCTCCTCATTCCGTTGTCCATCAAGGAAAAATATGCTGTGCTCCTGAAGGGGACTCTTGTGGAATGTCTTCAGGGAATAAATATGCCCAAGCGTACGGATTGTCGGCATTTCTTCCATCCAGATTTTCTCTCTTGTCTCGTCTCATATCCCCGGCAAGGCTGAAAGAAAAGACGATGCACGATATCGAGTTAGTGAAATATTCATAACAAACAAATATTTAGCAACTATCTCGTTCACGTGAATCCCCAGGTAGAATTTACACACTGGCGAAGACTCGAAGAAGCACTAACGATGTAATGCGATACCTGTGTCTTGTCGAATACCTCACAGAGAGGAATTTATAGGGATGGGAGTATCCCAAAAAAGAATGGAATACGCGTACATCACAGAGTTTATTCACTCGCCTCTGCGGGGATGAATATAAATTAGTGCGCTGGATCTTCATGTACCTTCAAGTGCGCGACGTCTTTTATTGCTGCGCTACTTGAGCGCGTTTTAGAGACGATCAGCACGCGATTCCACATTCTCTCCTTTCGCGTTTAATACCAAAAATTCCAACACTATCCAATTCTCACGTTCACCCTGAGCATCATGAGAGGCATCACACGCTGGATTATTTCCATCATCAGTCGAGGAGCACATTTTTACTGTCGGTTCAGCGACTCTGTCGTGAAATTTAATCGCTTTATGTTGCCATTATTAATTTCAATTTTTCTCCAACTCATCACTGATCAAAATTCTCTCCCTTGAGAGCAGCAAATTTCATTTCCACCCGATTTTACTCTACAATTGAGTGTAAAAGTTACTGTGGAGACAAAACTATGTAGTAATTGTTTGTCACAAGGACCCCAACATCAATTATATTGCCATTTGAACCTCGTTAAAATCTAATTTGGTAAGAATGAGTGCGACGGAGAGGAAATATAGAGGTGCTTCTAATTTTGTGTGAATTTGTTGAGATTTCCGCGGATTAATTTGGCACAAATGTGAGAATCCCTCTGTCATTTATCTTCCGTCCGCAGCGTCATAAATTGCAAATTAGAGCTCCGAGAATTAGTGCTGGAATCACGGCTCTGAGATCTGTTTGATCTCGCGGGAGATACACGTTGGAATATGGGCGGTTTTTTGCGCGCCTGGAGCATCGAGACAAAAAGAGGTTGATGGTTCTTTCCTGTTTCGTTAGATTGCAAATTAATATTCCGACAGTGGTGGACAAATCTCGTAGCGAGAGTCTCTTTGTGTTTTTCTTCCTCCACCCCCGGAAAGGCGGACAAAAGCGTGCTGGTGTGGCTTTAGTTGAGCTATGAAGACATTCCGGAGCGAGAGCTTGTGTGTAGCATACATAATAAGGATTTCAATTAATGTCAGCATTCATCTAAATTATACACGCTCTCAGAGACACCTTTTCGGGTGGAAAATGTCAAGTCAAATTGTACATGCTTCATGTATTAAATTAATTATGCTGGATCCTCCGCAGACGCGCTTAGAGATGATTTAATGAGATCCTTCGGGCAGGTCACTTACACTCCAGCATTGCGCCATACATTGTATTAATATGACGCACGGAGCGCATCAGCCGGAATCATAACGCAAGAGCTTAATCCACATGCCTGCTTTTTCATCCATTTGCACAAACACTCGTCCTCCTTCTCCTCAGCCTAAATGTCCCATTAGCACTCCAAAAGAGAGCGGGCGATGAGATGCGAAATTAAAGCGATTGAACGAAAATTTACATAAAATTGTTGATGGAGAAAAGAAGCTTATGTTTCGAAATGTATATCAAACATCAAAGTTAAACCGCAAAGTGAGAATTACATTAATGACTTTGATATGGAAACTTTAAATATAATCATACGCGATGTAATTGCTATATAACCACCTCCTTTCCCTTTCCACCGCGTGCTGATACAGAGAAGCTTGCGGTGACTTGCGAGGAAATGCGAATTATGTATGTACATAATGCGTGGTAAATTTTGTGCCAAAGCAAAGAATTCTCTCAGTGAAATGTGAATCCTGTCACATGGCATTTTTCTCCATCTTGATTGACATGTGTAAGATAATACAGCACTTCATTAAATTTCAAATCTATGCTCTCATATATTCACTCTTTATCAATACGCGGAATTCTTTTGAAATGCTTCCAATTAGTGCAGTAGAATTTTATACAAAAGCCACACGTTACAATGTTGCACAGTTCTTTGTGAAATTTTAATTATTGCAATTGGAATCAACATAAATAAAAAGAGCTTTTCAAATTGCAATTTAATCTACTCGAAATGGAATTTATTAAAAATATGAGGTTAACCATTTCATAAGCATCGTTCACATTTGTTATCAAATACGGCTTTCATTATCATTTTCAGCATTTTGATAAGTGATAAAGATGCATTTTGAATAAACACAACTCATGATAGAGGGTTAATTGCATGTCGATGCGGTGAAACATCCAAATAAATGGCTCAAAATTAAATAATTGAGATGGTTTCACTATAATATGGTTCTCCACACAACAATCATCTACTCACATTGAAAATCCCACTGCATATTTGGCTCTGATGGGACTCACATGTCTGCAAGCAATTTGTGCATATGATGAGAAACACTACACCACCGCCAGTGTATCCTAAATATGATAACAATTGTTTAATCAATTCCCATATCGCTCGACGCGTCCCATTTGTGCCGTCAATTTATAAAACACATTGAGAATACCGAGTCGATCGCATGAATTTTGTGCCCACGATGCATTGCCGGGGCTGTATTACTTCATCCTGGGAATAAATTTGCATTTATAAATAAGCAATGAATGGCTCAGGGCATCAGACATTGGCACAGCACCAGACAAAACTTCCGCAAATTTCCTCCTAAGAATACACTTTTCAAGCCCCCAACTAAACAGTGTGGCGAAATTGTGGACAGCATCACGCCATGGAGTCCTGACGAGTAATTCAATTAATAGAGCCCATCCTGGAAAATGGGCGGCGGCAGTGGGGAGAAAATGTGGTTTGTGGGTGGTTTTTGGGGGTAAAAAAAGACGACGCAGCGCGGAAAATGAGAAACAACGACTAAATTTGTAATTCAAATTGTATCTCTGGGATTAAAGGTGATTTTCATATACATAAATTCCTTGCTGCGGGATGGAACAGTGCTGATAAAATACATGTCGTTTGCATTTGATAGCGCTGATGTGTAATTAATTGATGCTTCAGCGTGATTTAATGGCTCGGCGTCCGCTGAGGATTAAGAATTTCCCCACGAATTGCGAGTGCGCGAGTGCTTTATTTATGACTCATTTTCTAAGTGGCTCTGCGGTGCTGTCCACAGTTGGATTTTCAGTGAAAATACATTTTTGCAAATGCACCTTTTCCGAGTTTCACCTCTCGGTTGATTGAATTGGAATTGGCTCACGGTTTGGAAAATGGAAAATGTGAATTTAACATGCCTCGTCATTGCCCGTGAGATGACACAGATTGATTATGGCACGATGATACGACGTTTCACACGTACCAGCTATACAGGTGAAAAATCTCTGTTGAGAGAAAATTGGTGGAATAAATCAAGGGAAAATATTTATCACGCGTGTTTCTGCACCAAAACAATCTCCAGCAGTCGCACAATGTTGAGGAATTCAATTGATTTTCCTCCAGACTTGTATACATATTACCTTATAATTCACTAGTCAATAATGCAGAACATCCATTTAAGTGGCTCTTCTTTCCTGTTCAACATTCTAGAATATTTCATGAATCATTTTATTGTGCTATTTTGGTTCATTTCTCCACGAGAAGATTGCAATCCACCATCTGTTGAATTATTCCTGAATACATACATACATTTATCTACAAGATAATCCGAAGCACTTCCTTTGCTCCCAGGATTGGGGTCAATTGTTCTTGGTTTCGCGAGGGAAGGAGCATTTAGAACCCACCATCTCCAGACATCGATAGATACTATTCCCGCTCTCACGATGTTGCATTGCACATTTCACTCCTGATGAAGCACTTTAGATAAATATCCAGCCATTTTTCTTTATGATTGCAAAATTTCGTATGACTCGCAAGACGCATGGGACACATAGCGCAGATCATGAATTTTGCAGAGTCATCGCCCTTTGGCTGTTACATTTTAATCCCAGGATGGCTTTCATTTTTTACTGGCTCACTGTATCTCCGGGATTAAAAGATACCTTTAATAAGTTAAAAGACCATGGGGAAGACATGAAAAATTCTCGCAATTTCTTCAGCATCCCAAAGCCAGAGGCTCCAAGTTGATGAGAAAGGATCCCCAGAGGTTCGGTTGTGCGGTGCAAACAAACCATAAAATATTTGTGGAACTTTCTCCACGAGTGACGAGTGAAATATTTGTCGATTAATACTCCGTGTTGGATTTCTTCCAGTCACGGACTGCCTGGTCAGTGAGTGGGGCGCCTGGAGTGAGTGCGACGCCACGTGTGGCACGGGAATGATGTCCCGCAACCGGACTGTGGTGCGAGCGGCCCAGAATGGCGGCAAGCACTGCCCATCGCTGCTGCAGAAGCGCGGATGCCAGGGATTCAAGTGTCAACACCATCAGGACCGAAGAGTGATGCGAGGTGATTTGCCATGATTCTCCCACGTCTCGCACTAATTGAGCAAATTATTCATCTGGGCCTGTTGTGTCTTGTGATTTTCCAGAGATGGCCCTCCTCCTGCCGGCGTCCTTATCCAAGAGCCGTCACGAGAATGACACCAGCGACATTCGGCGGAACCTGAGACTCCGCTATCGGGACTCGTTCAAGCACAACCGCGGAAATGAGTGAGTATATTTCACGTGTTTTCACCATCTAACCATTAATTAACATCCACACAATTCCCCAACTCTCGCGCGGAGCGTTCTTTCATCCCCCAGCGTCACAGTGGATGAAACTTTTCCATACACCCTTGGGAGAAGCTGGCGTGAGAGTAAACAGCAATTTTGTCAATTTAATTAATTGAGTAATTTTTCATGTGATGCCCGTTTTGATTTATTACTCTATATATGCGAACGCGTATCACAGTTTCCAAGCTGTCCATTCAATGGGAAACAGAATCCACCATAATATCAACAAGAGAGAGAGAGAGAATATTAATCCCGTTCAAACACTCGGAAAAATGAGCAAGTGCGGCAATTGTCCGGAAAAGTGACGCTAAGACGCAGATATAGGATGTGTCAGTGTTCGAAGATGCCCGCAAACACAAGACACCATCAGAATCTCAATAGAACGCTTGTTGAGCAGTCCTCGAAACTGTTTGCGATACTTTAAATTTCCCAAATTCGATTTCTACCAAGAAAAGAAACTTTTAAAAGCTTACTCTGCAGAGAGAGGAGGATAATGGACAAACATCAGACCCTCCCTCAGCCAAAGGAAATCACTTCTGCCACCCACTAATGCGATCGTCTTCTGCACAAATAATACCACTGATGAATGTGCACGATTTAGTGAGTTGTTAATGGCTAAGAGTGCCATTTGTCTCATGAACAAAAACAGGGAAATACGCGTTTAACCGCCCACAACATAGGGCAGCCAATTTTGCTGGAAAAAATCACTACACAGCAGCTAAATCCTTGGTTAAATCAATAACAATAGAACTTCTCTAATGCTTGAAAGAAATGTGAAATTGTGCACGAAAATCTCCTCAGATTTATAGGCAGTAATTACAAATTCTTCGCCAATTGAGATCTTAGAGAATATCCTCAATTCCTGGAGCGCGGCTGAAGTATCACTTTCGTTGAAATGGGAAGAAAAATTAATTTTTATCTCCCGCACAGTGAAAATTTGTCCATTGCTCGAAATTTCGTGGGAAAGTGGGTCGTTGGACAGCGTGAAAATTTTGTAATTGAATTGAATTGGTGCTGAAAATGGAATTGGGAAAAATTAAGTAATTAGAGCAGAACTCCATCTTTCCACATCAACACCCTTTTCTCTGCTTGAACTTTGGCGCTCTTTGGCAGTTTACAGCATTTACACTTGCAGACTTTGAGAGGTGCGCAGAACTCCAATATAGATTGTGTTGAGAATTTATTGAGGAGGAAAATTGGTTGGCGGAATTTTTGCTTTCCAATTCAAGAATTTAATAAACTGTGCCATTTAAAAAAAATAACACAAAGTTTCACGTGATAAAGTGTCGCGAAAATGTTCGAGGTGACAAACTTTCTTAGTTCAGATTACAACTATATGTTTTATTGGAATTGCTAGATCGCGGTTCCGCAGGTGTTCAATGACTTTCCCGAGAGTTTCTCACTTCCCAATCAACGTCGGAATAAAGTCGATTACGTCAGTGTTAAATTTCACAGCTAAATTTCCCGTGAAATGTATGAATGGTAAATTAGGCGACCCATTAAGGCGCTCAGCGGTGGGGGCAATGGAGACTGAATTCAATTAGTGTGTGCAAGGGAGATGTGTAATTAGGCCACGCTGAAAGGGTGGCTGGGATAAATGATCTCAATAATTAATAAAACACCGGCAAATTTCCATCCTTCTCCGCTTTCCAGATACTGTGTCGAATTCGAAGTGCTGAAGGCGTCGAAGGCCTGTCACAAGCTGCCGCCCTACGACCAGCTCCTGGAGGGCGATCGCGTGGTGGTGCGCTGCGACTTGGAGGCTCTGCAGAGGGACACCGCGATGCCAACAGAGTCCAGCAACTCGGTCCTGGATGAAGATCAGCTGCCGAAGGGCAAGTTCCGATGTCGAGGCGAGGGAATGCCAGGGCGCAACACGCGATGGAGCGCTCTGGCGGCGCCCTCGTGTCACGGCAAGTGGCTGCGATTGACGCTGGACCAACCCAAAAAGTGCACAGAATCCCAGTTCATTTTCGTATAATTCGACCCAATGTAGGTGCCGCGCCATTGCATTGTCTTCGACTTCTTTTATGTATTAATTTTCTCCTAATTATAAACCTTTATTTCGTCTTGGCTACAGAAAGAACTTTCACATGAATATAGCATATATACTTAACTGATAGTGTTAGGATAATCGCAAAGATAGCCCCCTTGAAGAGAGACGAGAGAGAACCTGTTGATGGCAATAAAATCCATGTCCCTATTTTTACATGAGGAGCTAGGAAAGAGAACGAGGAGTTACGTGTCATAACTGATAATTTAAGTTATTTTAGGTGAGAAAAGAGCATGATATATATGATATAATACTCAATCCCAAACGAGCATCACTCAAGTGAATTTTTTATCACTTGGAAAAATGGTTTTTCACGCGGAATTGTACATAAAGGCGAGGTAAAAAAATGTTGAGAGAGAAAATCCAAGGGAGAAAACGTGTCAGAACATCCTACATTCTAACAGCTACTTTATATTTAATTCTTATGTCATTTCGTGCATTCGAAAGAGTGTCAACTGCCAGCATTTCTTTTTTAAGAATTCAATAAAAATATTTTAAGCATGGCAACAAATGGGAATTTATTGCGCATTTTCTCCCCTTTCCGGTTCTCTCTTCTTGTGTTCAATACCCCGTTCTTCCCTGTGGCACAGCCTTTAGATCTCTGAGCTAAGATGCTAAGATAGAACACCCCTCTTGGAAAAAAACCTAGATGGACCCCTTTGTAAACTCATCGAGAAACTATTCACACTACAAGTTACATCACATACACAAGAAAAGACAGGACAGGCATTTTAAGTAAGGAATCTAAGAAGAGAATAAAATATTAATGTAGCAAAAATAAAAAATTTTTTATTTGTTGATCGGGAACTCTTGTAACTTAAAAGGCGGAAAATTAAATAAAAAAAAATTGATAAAAGAAAGTAAGAATAAAATTGACACTAATGCAACCTTGTAAATACAGAATGATATACTTAATGAGAAACACTAGTTAGACTAGTTGTAATGACTAAGGAAAATTATTGGAAGTGAATTCTGGAGAAATAATAAGAGAATCATTGAATTTCAAAGGCTCTTTTTTACTCAAATTCACCGTCACATTCATCAATTTTCATTACATCCTCTATTTTGCAGTGTACTTTTGTGTTCATGCCAATTAAAAGCACACCATCGCAGTCTGTAATTGAAATAAATCACATATCACATAAGGAAGAAGATGAACTGTCCTTCCACCTCCGCAAAACACTTTTATTATACCTTTTTCTTCGCACTCGTGTACTCGAGTTTATTGATCTGTTCTTCAAACGTATAAAACTGCGAGCGTGTGTCTTTCTTCCGAATCGCAATTTATGAGTCATGGAGGACATTAACATTATAGAATAGCTAGCGACATTTTTTTCTCGACTCAAAGAAATATGAAGAATGTAAAATGTTTCATTTACATTGAAAATAAATTGAGAGAGGAGAAGAAGAAGAAAAAGCCACCCGAGAATTCCATTATAAATGAATATTAATTGAGAAGTGATCCATTAATGGGATTGCTGGTACAATATGCCATTGAAATATGAATTTGGTATTGAAAATCACTGACCATTGCTAATAAATAATCAATTGACCGAAGAAGTCAATTTCGGACTCTCTTGATTGACTGGGCAAGTCTGAGTTTGGAATAACTCAATCGATATTGTTGCCATTTCACTTTTGGATGCAAATGTATTTGATTTTCTGAATTTTCACTCACCAAAATTGGTTACATTATTCAGTGGAAATATCGATGTGTATTGCAGAGAAATCCCCTTTTATTCGTTAGTTCGATTGAAATGCGATGTTTTGAGGTAAGCTCAAAAGGTATCAGAATTCAGTCAAATTGAAATTTCTATGACAGTTTTGGGACACACCATAAAACCCAAAGTTTCACTGGTTGTTGACAGATGAATTAACCCATTAAGTCAGCACTGAAACAGTCTCCAGATGATCGATAATTTTTTTTTGTTTCAACAATTGCCCCAAAAGTCGTGACGATGTGGAAATCTCCGCGTGCAGAAAAATCCTCCTTCTGAGCTCCACTTGCTTACCCGAGACGACGAGCGAGTGTGGATATGCTGCATTCGGGATTCATCATGTTGATTTAGGAGCATTTCAGCTGGTGCGTCTCCATCAAAGTCCCCAGCAAAAGCCATGGCATAGAGTCGACCAGAAACATCTCATGGGTTGTGGCTGTTGTTGATATTGGATATGTTTCGGCACGTTCGTTCGTGTTTGAACTACAAACACGATTGATTAATCACCGCGGATTAAAGTGCCTTACAGACAGTTTATTGGATGTTTGCACGCGTGCCAATTGACTCGAAAACATGTGATGTGGAGGGATCCAACATGAGAGGTGAGGTGAGCAATTAGGCATCTCGGAATAATACATCTAAATTGGTACCAATTGCCGCGTGAAAAGTTTCTGTCGGCAGAATGGGCCTCGTGTTAGCACCGGAAAGCATTTCCATGAGAGACAGTGCGAGGTTGGGCCGATAGTCAGTGATGTGTGGACATAAATCAATCGTCATCTACTTTTCTGTGTCAAAGAAAATGGACGGCGAGCGGGGGAAAAATGGGTCAATTAATTGGAGCTTTTGAAATAGTCACTACCTTTTCCCGTATCGACTCTTGATTGGATAGATTGTTTCTCTCTCCTTTGTTGTGTTCGTCCTGGAGCGATTCGACAGCCTTTGACTACATGCTTTTGTTACTATTGCGGCTGACTGCTGAAACTCGCTTCCATTAATTAATAAAACTCAGTCAATGGATCAACTGTTGGTGTAGTTTTTCCGCGAAATTCACCTCTAAATATCATATTATGTCCGGAACATATTTTTGCACCCTTCGTTGCACCGGAAAACTCTTAAAGCTTTCACTGCTCACGAAGAATAAAGTTCACATAAGACATATACATCAACTGTGTTTGTAATTCTTCTGCGGTGGAACTTTGTGAACTTCTCAAAAGTTTTCCAACTTCACCAGAAAAAGTCCTCCATGAAATTCAAGTTGGATGATATGAAAGTTCTTTTGAAGGTAAGTTTGTCTGATAAATTTTAGATTTGATTTCACAGTGACAGAATGAAAGGAAAAAGTCCAATCAACTTTTAAAACACATTCGCTGAAGGACAAAGTAAATAATTCAATGAAGTAATATTCAAAATAGGATTTGTTGAATTGGTTTTAGTTTGACGTGGAATATTTGATTACCTTAATTCTGTGAATTTCAAAATTAGGAAATTCAATTAGAGTTTTATTGCTTTAATTACTTTTTATTATGGCTCCGTCGAAACATTTAAAGGAGAAAACAAACTTTCCGTGTTTCGAATTTTGGGAATCATTTTACATGAATTTTCAACCCACTTTCACGCCACTCCATTGAACGCCTCTGGAAGATAACTCAATCTCTGCAACTCTAATTGAAGGCTAAGTAGTTTTAGATAAACCACAAGTCATGTTGAGGTGCTCAATTCTATATTTATTCGAGAATATTGCCACAATGGAGATCTCAAGGCGAGGTGATGGCGAAACTTGTCGGCAATAAGAAGATTAAAGAGCAATTTGAGGCAGAAGGCAAGGCTCAATTCACGGGATGGCTTTGTCCTCTTCTCCCTCGCATTTTGCATAATTCTTGTCGCCTCATTAGGTCGCCGCGCGTCTCATGAGCATCGCGATATTGCGAAATGATTGCCCAGTTCCGCAACAAGACGAATGACTTGGGTGTATTTCGAGGCATTGTCGTGGAGACACACAATGTCGTAGAATCGCGCCAGAATGCTTTCTGGGCTCTCTCTGCATTCACGGACATTGGAGTGTCTTGCGAGCAGCGTTCCACTAATTAGTCATCACGTGCCCCTCTGTTGAGCAAGAGCCTCTGTTTGTTCTGCAATTATTGCTGCATTGTCGGCGAACTGAGGCACCCATAAATAACTCGGTGACAAAAGGTCACGTCTGGGAGTGTGGGTGGGATTTGGGGATGCTGACGAGCTCCGCCGAGGGACAATGAAGCATAAGTTGCTGGGAGAAAGAAATCGCGCTGAATGGGCTACACGTGGGGAAAAAATACAAGAGCCCTCACTGCTGGAGTCCATACACTTGTTGTGTGCGGAGACAATTAGTCCCTGTAAGCGGGGCTGCATCTCGGGCCCCATTAGAGGGTGTGTCGCCTCCATGGTGCTTATTTGTGTTCCATGTCTCAATGAATCAACCGCCCCTTCGGCCCCCAAATTGCCGGCGCGGAGGCCGTTTTTTGCCTCTCATGTGCACATTTCACAGCTACGTGAATGTGACATGGAGTCCCTTGTTGACTCCTAGTTCCACGGCACAATGCTCCCCATGCACGATATATACTTATTTATTGCAATGCAAATTTGCCTAAGCGTCATGTTCCCTCTCACACCATCGCTCCCGGTGCTCCAATCGTTCAGACACCGCCACCGATTCGCATTTGTGCGAATGGCAGAGCGCGAGGGAGCGGCACAACAACCACTCGGAGGAATGTTCCCTGTCATGCACTCTCCAATGTGCACAGACGACGATATATTGCATTCAAAATTCACCACTGAGCTGTGCTTCTGCGAGCCCCCAGTGCACAAGACCCTTGTGTGCCTCCGACATGAATGCCGATGACCAATTAATTAATTAAGGCTCCACTCCACGAGTCCGGGTCTCCTTGTTGACTCTTCGTGGGCGCCAAATCACACAATTGCGGATGCAGTGGCCATCAGGTGAATCAGGAATGCGAATGGGAGGCGATGAGATTGCCTATCGGCAGAGCCTATTCCCTTTCGAAATGTAATAGAGCGTCATTTGACGAGAGAACAATGCTTCTCAAGAACAATATTGCTGTCTATATGGTGTGAACAAAGGGAAAAATTTCTCATCCACACATAACGTGGCAAGTGGAATTTCATTCCCAAAATTGACAATCAAATTCTGGTGGTTACACTGGCAAAATCAAAAAATTTGTAGGCACACTATAATTTTCAAATTAAAATAAATCCATTTAAAATCGCTTTTTTGTTGTTTTTTTTACCATAACCTAAAAAATATCACTAAAAGATTTTTCAAAACGCCGTTTGGAATCTTTTCAGATCACAAAATCATCTGTTATAATTTGCTAACGAACTCAAAATGGCTGAATCAGAGTCAAAGTCGTCCAGAAAGTGTTGAAAATCAACACTTCTTATTCCAAAAATACTCTTTTTGAGGTTATGTTTGATCTTACCAGTGTTTCTCCGCATCAATAACAATGTTTTTGCAAGTAAATGCAGAATTCTGCGAAAAACTAGCGATCTCTCAGACTTGAGCATAAGAATTGATGTGCTAGAATGTGAATTTCTAACTAAATCTGTCCTTGATTCGTTACATAACCTAGAAAAGGATAAATATAATTAATTTTGCTTTGACTTCTGCGTAAAAATAAAGAGAAATCCGAAAGAAATATTGTAAGATTTTGAACACTTCCATCTCCGATGAACTATACACCATTTCTGACCATATTATCTAACCCTTGGGAAAAACTATAGATAACTTTCTTCTGTGTGAAAAAGCTTCTGTGTAAAATAAAAATGATCTAAGATTATTGCATAAATTGTGGCAGAAGAAAGTCAATGGGAAGAAAAATTCAATCGCGATAGAGCATTTGAACAAACATTTCATATTTGCTAAGATGAAGATGATAACATCTCCACTATATTCTGACTTTTTTTCCCCGCTTCAAGTGAATAACGGTATAAATCAAGTGCCGATGAAAAGATTAGTGATACAAATGTAAATGAATGTCACAGAGGATTAGGAAAAAATCTGTTTGAAACTTGTTGACACTTTCCATTACTCTCTGTCTCATTTGGAGCTTCTTTGGCTTCGCGCGCCTGTTTGACGAATTCGCTACAAGTCTCTCTCTTTTTTATGTACGGCAACATAATAGCTATCGGCCGAGTTATGGCTCAATCTCTGAGTGTCTGAGAATGGGCACGGATTAAAATTAACACTTCATTCATTTCGCTGGAAGAAATAACTTCTCCCGTTAAAGATTCGCGCAATTGGACGTGAGACATTTCGCCGTGGGCCTGAACATCTGCAGATTTGTGTGATTGGGGATGCGTGAGAAGGAGCGAATTGTTGGCAATTTAGCGTCGACAGTTAATAGCTTTCATTCATTTCAATCTCAATAAATTGTGTATTTAGAGAAGCCATAAATAGCAAGATTCTGCCACAAAAGAAGTACAGAGAACAGCTCAATTGAGGCAATGGAATGTGTCGCTGGGACGAAAGTTAAAGAGTCTCGAATGGCACTGTTGATATCATCATAGAACATCTCTGGCACATAAATAATTTATGGGTGTATCTGTGTTGCTAGATACTGTTGTTGGAATGTCTTGATTGGCATCCTCATTCGCCAAATTAATTAACTGATTCCATCTTCCGAAACTCATGACTTCGTGATGTTACCTGTCGCTCGATAT